CGCTGGCCGTCCTGATCGCCGGCACCGTGCTCGTGACCATGGAGCGCCGCCACGGGGGGCGACGGCCGCGGCCGCCACGACGACCACGACGGCAACGACGGCCACGGCGGCCACGACCACGACCACCACGGCCACGGCCACGACGGTTCCGACCGCGACCACCACGACGTCCACGACGGCCATGACGGCCACCACGACCACGACCACCGCCAACACCCCCACGCCACTGCGGCCACCACCACGGCGGGCATGCAGAGGTGGGAGGGATGAGAAGGACGAACAGGGGGGGGGGAAAGGGGGAGGGAGGGCGCAGCGTTCACTGTTCGGTGTCCAGTTTACTCCCCACCTTCTCCGCGGTCTGGCCACGTGCTCAAAACGAGCCCAGCCCCCCCCCCCCTTCCAAGAGAAGGAGAAGGCAACAAAGGCAGAAGAGGACGAGGAAGGGAAGGAGGAGGAGGAGGCATAATCAGAATGATGATACGGATGATAAGAATACTTATCGCAATACTAACTATAATAATAATAATCATAATACTACTACTACTAATAATAATAATGATGATGAGAATAAGTAACAGTAATAATAATAATAATAGTAGTAGTAATAATAATAATAATATTGATGATAACAATAATAAGTGCAAGACTAATAGCAATCACACTACTACTAATAATACGATTAATATTACTATTAACATTAACACGAATACTACTAATAACACTCGTAACAAATAATAAGAGGAGGATTCGGAGAAGGAGGAGGGGAAGGAGGATGCAGGGGAGGCAGAAGAGGAGGAGGAGGAGGAGGAGGAGGAGGAGGAGGAGGATGAGGACGAGGAAGAGGAGGAGGAAGAGGAGGAGGTGGAGGAGGAGGAGGAGGAGGGTGCTGCCTGAGCCTCCACGTTCCTCCTCCGCCCGCGAAGGTCGCCCAAGGTCCCCCGATGCCTCTAAAGGTCGCTGGGGCCACTGGGGAGCCCCGCAGGTCTTTCGAGGCCCAAATCTGACAACAAACGTAGAACAAGCATGTCACTCCCTCCACCGCTGGCCTCCTCTGTCCTTCTCTGTCCTCCTCCTCCCGCTCCTCCTCTCACTCCTCATGCCGCTCCTGTTCTCCTCCTCCTCCTCCTGCTCCTCCGCCTCCTCCTCCTCCGTTCTCCTCCTCCTCCTCCTCCTCCTCCTCCTCTCCTTCCTCCCTCCGTCCGCCCCTCCTGCCCCTCCTCCTCCTCCGTCCGCCCCTCCTCCTCCTCCTCCGTCCGTCCTCGATTTCCTCATCCCCTCCTGCCCATCACCTCATCCTCGTCGTCCTCATCCCCTTTCTCTCCTCCCCCGCCCTTCTCCTTCCCTCCTCCTCCTCCTCCACTGCTCCTCCTCCTCCCCACCCCTCGCCCTCCTCTGTCATCACCCTCGCCCTCCCAATCCGTCCTCCTCCCCTGCTCCCCCCACGCATGCCGAGGACCATAGCAAGCCGAGCGGCGGCAGGGAACATGATCAG